TGTCCACTTCTATGGCGTGTCAATGGAAAAGATATGGGAGACTGGGCCGAATAGTTGGTGACGTGGTGGCCTGCCAACCAAGCAAGAACCTCTGAACAGCTTTTCGGATTTCAAAGGGGCACTGAAGACTCTGCCTAAAACTATGCGAAACCACCCAGGGGAAAACTCTAAAAAGCAAGCTCACTGCCGCCCCCGTCAATCATCACCACCATCAATAAAAAATGGAAGCGACCTCCCCAGCCCCTCGATTCCCCGCAACTGTGCTGGCTCCAGTCACAGAGAGTGCTCTGGTGACCAACGCGTTTGAGGACCACAACGGATCCAACAGACAAACAAAGCCAACGACCAGATCCATCCCAACCAACCCGCCAAACACCCGTCTGATTTCAATGAGCCCTCACCCAAGTCCAGCCCACACAGAGACAGCTTCCGGGTTATAACAGTACATCTCGGTCACGTTGAGCAGTAAAAGCAGTTTGTGTGCACAATACATGGTCCTGCGGTGGGATTTTATCTTTCAATTATTAATTTCAAATTGCATGTTTTCAACAAATAATAAAGTAAATGGTCATTAATCTCTTTCTTCTAAGTATTTTTTTATAATTACTATTTCATGCCCTAGATTTCAAAAACAGTCACCCTAAAACCTATTACAATTACACTTATGTCCTTTACATTCAATTAACCCCTACCCCTCCTCTGTCTCCGATCTAACCTCATCCCGACATCTGCCGCCACTTTGTGATGCTGCTGCCATTGGATTTTGCCGACTTTGAGGATAAAGAAGGATTCCCCCATCTCTGCTGGAGTTTCCCCTCCTTCGGGAGAAGGAAGAAGATCAGAAGAGAGTCGAATCTGCTGCATTTCTAAGTCCACTGGGAGCCCAGCTCTGCCATCTCCCGATAAGGAAGAAGAGGGGAGGATAAAAGAATCGTTGGTTGGGTTCTTCCCCTCGGACGGGTTGCAATCCGTGGGGACAGGCCCCTCGGACGGGTTGCAATCACGTCGCCGACGGAGGTGGGGACAGGCGCCTCGGACGGGTTGCAATCCGTGGGGACAGGCCCCTCGGACGGGTTGCAATCACGTCGGGGTGCGCCACCCGACTGGGGGAGAGTTGAGCTACAGTGTATGATTTGTTTTGGTGGCCGGAGGTGGTGGCGGTGACGGACGTAGCAAGACGGAATTAGCACTTCCCAGCAGAGCAAGTCTGGTCCAGGGCGAAAAATGGATCACGATTTTCTAGGAATTAGGAATAAGTTGGGGTAAAATCGTCACTTTCGGTAAGTTTAGGGCGTAAAATTTTAAAAGTTGGGGCGTTAAATAGAAGTTTAGTTTTTTTTTTATAATCCATTTTAAGCCATTTTAGAGCGAAATGTAATCAAGTTGAAGATATTGTTGGTTAATATTCTATTTAATACGTGTATCTATTTATGTACGTATTTTAGTTGAGGGTTATACAAAATAGGAGGAAATAGAAATAAATTATCTTTTATTTAATTTTTTATGAACACGTTACTTCCTTTTGTTGTTAGGAATTCATTTTCATATTCCATTTGGTCAAATATTATTCTAATGAGTACTGAAAGTATGTCTCAATCATAGAATTGAAGCTGGCAGACGATAGAGAATAATCAAAACAAGCTGAATTAAGAACCTTAATCTCCAAACAAAATCATAAGTGATAACAATTTTGATGAGGACAAAGCAATTATGTTGATTTTGATTCTTGGCTGGGTTGAATCATTTGCAAGTGTCATAGATCCATCAAATGTGTTCAAAAATTGTATATTAAGTTTCGTGCTTAGCTTGCTAATTTTGTTATCCTTCTCATGGGCAATGTGTAGGAATGACAAAAAAAATTCCCATTTTGCGTATTTAATCCTATTAGTATTTGAATAAACTTTAGTAGTGAAAATCTAACCTGCAACGTTTTTTAGGGGATTTTCACCCGAAACCAACAAGGACAGTATATTGAAGAAAAGGATCACTTTTGTGCTAAAAATTGACACTTTTAATTCTTATCTCATTTCTAAGGCGGTAGCTTATGGTTAATCTTCCAACAAGATTTGAGAAATTAATTAAATGTCCCTTTATCAATTTAAGCTAGGATGTAAGAATAGGAACAATGGACCATTTGAGAGAACATGAGCAATACCTAAGATAAAAAAGAGAGATGAGAAATGACATGCAAATTTAATGTGTTCGATCAATTAAAGCTTTACATCCATATCCCTACGATATTATAGACTATAAAGAGAAACTCAACTTTTATTGATAATCAATAATCTAACCGTGACTAAACAAAAATCAAGAACGGAATAAACGTAATACTCCACATATTCGACTATTAGCTTATCCCAAACTAAGTCACCATTCAGTCAACCAAGCTTAAAAGCTTTTAGTTTAGTTCGGATGGATGAGTTAGGCAATTTGTTGTTATCGACCTAGCCACTGCCACTCAAACTCAATCAGCTGGCAAATTCGAGTGCCGCCAATGTCATTCTCCAAATTCTTCGTTGATTGGATGGCGATCCCTTTGAGTCGAAATTCATGAACAAGGTTTCAAACTAAGAATTTGGGGGAGTTGAGACTGATTATTTATTTGTATCACTGTCTTGTTGATGCCTTTAACCGCTAGTGATGGCACTTTGAACTTGCTTCATCGATTATTATCTGATCCGACCCACATAGGCATTACATTCGTTGTACCCGTCCCCTTTCTTGATTCGTTATACCTTGATTTGTCTCAATATCTATTTGTATTTCTTACAGTTTGACTTATCTGAAATAATATTTCATCCAATGATAGTTTAGATATGTGCAAGACTTCATCTTTCAACTAATTGGAATCAATCGGGTTATCTATTATCCATGTTTTTTCATTTATTAACTATTTTCCAGTTACTTATCGTTAAAAATAAACATTTTATTCAAATAATATATAAAAATGAGTCAACTTACCTTGATTCGTACCCGCATAAATATTACCTCATCTTTTCTCATGAAGCTTTTCCTAATACCAACTTCACCCACTCCCTTAGAAGAAATCGCCATGGCCAGGCCTCAATGGAAGACTACAAGTTTAAGAACTTTGTAGGGGAGCGAAAACAAGACCATACAATTAGTTACATGCTAACAATTTTCATGTTTTTAAATGTGGCTTGTTCACAACAACATTAGTTTGGTTACATATATTTGATAAAGATAGAATTGTGCTAAAACAATGAAAGAAAGGGAGACACGTTCTATTCCAGATAAATACACCTCACCAAAGGAGAATATAAGATTGCAAATTGGGAGCCAACTAGGGTTCTAGTTCAAAGGATATTCCAGGAAAAACAATTTATAAATCAAAAAATTAGTTATGCCATTTTTTTAATGTGTTACGGTCAAAGAGAAACTAGCTTTTTCAGGGTAATGTACCCTAACTTTTTGCACATTGGACACAAGAAGTCAACATTTTCCAAAAAACTAATAAGAAATCAAGAACTTAACTGTCTAGGCAATTTAGCATTGATTGTGGTTAATTAGGTGAAATTTGAAATTATGCAAGAAATTAAAAGAATGATAAACGGTAAAATTAAGAGAATACACTAAATTTCGTCAATTTTGAAAGGAATTGACCGTTTCCCAGGAACCAAATGATAACTACAACAGGAAAAACATTCATTCATTACGAGGGATTAGGTTTTGCTAATATAAAAGCTTCTAACATCACACAAATAAAAAAGCTTCTAACAATATACAAGTGCACGCCATTAGTGTATACACGGTGTCACGTACCTATCTTCCAATCAAAATCTCCCAATAATTTTTCCAACCCTCTACAAAAAATGCGAAAGGAACCAAACTTCTCTTTCTTCTCTTCCCAACTTTTTACAGTTTCACACTGACTCCGCCTATCTCTGTACCAATTGTAGACTAGACTATAATGTGGGAAGGAGAGGGATGACGTTGTACATTGGAGATATAGAGAGAGAGAGAGAGAGAGAGAGAATGAAAGTCTCTGTTGGTCTCTGGTACTGACTACTGAGTCAAGCTAGAAAGAAGAAGAACATGGGGTGACTCGGAAGGTGATGCAGCTGGGGGAGACCTATCTTTCAAGTGTCTGCAACTGCTGCTCTTAATCGACAAGCCCCTCAGTTTCCTGGGTTTTCACCCTTCTCTTTTTGGGTCAGTTCTTGGTCTGAAATGGCCTTAAAGTTTTCATCTTTCTCAATTTTTCTTCATACCCATTTGCTGGAACCCCCATGTTGTTTTTTAGGTCAATGGCGGCGGTAGACAAGTTATGGTTTTTGTCTTCTCATTTTAGGGGTATTTCCAAGTTCTTGTTTCTTCCTCCGCCTTGTCGTGTCTGGTTCTGTTATCTTTTTTGTTGTTTAAGTTTTTTGTGTGTGTTCTCGTTCTCTTTGAGTACTTGACATGTGGATTCCGTTTCTAAAGTTGTTCCTTTGATTTGATCCATGAGAACTTAGGTTGTTTTAACATTAAACTCCTAGTGTTTTCCATCTGAAATTTCACTATGACCTGTTCTTTCTGTTTAATATCTATTTCCCCTCTGCTGCACATTCATCTTCTGATAACTTATACCTATTTTTCTTCTCTGGCTTCTCTTCACAGTGTTACTAAATTAAAGATCCAACTCTGGTTAAGCTCATTTACTGGATTTTGGTTGGGGGGGTTCCATTTTGATACAGACTTGTTCCACCTTTACTTTGGAAGCTATAATCAAGAGTTTGCGACTCCAGAAACCTATGAAATTGTGATTCTATTTGTTGCTGCTCTAACTCAGATGATTCTTTCTGTGTACAGGAACAGTAAGAAAGACTGAGAAACAGGAATTTCGAAAAATCCTAACTAAATAGGGGGAGTGGTTTAACAGATCTGCATTGGTTACCCTGGCCTGGATAATGTAGCCTGTACTTCTGGTACAAAAACCAGTCTGTTGCAAGGTCCAAGCCACTTGCCCTTTTGTTGGTGGTGGACTCGTGGCTACCCTAATGCATTCGGAGTCCAAGAGGCTCTATTCTTGGTGGTGGGACAGTCACATCCCCAAGAATTCCAAATGGCTTCAGGACAATCTCACAGGTGCTTGCTCTACTCACTTCCCTTTAGATCTCTTGTGAGTTGTGACTTACTCTTTTTTCAAGTAGTTCCACTCCACAGTTCATGCTTTGCTCCATATTTTAGTTTTGTGGGCCTCTTTTGTTGGAAGCAAAAGGGGTTCATTATCATATGCTTAGCAAAAGAAGGAACCCGAAGTTCGGTGAACAAACAATCATGTAGCCTTCGTTTTGTGTAGCCAGATTTTGCTTTATGGAACATGATACATATTGTTGCCTCTTTTAATGTGATTTTTGAAACGAATTACTCCAATATTGACGAAGTTTGACACTGGTGTAACAGATATGGATGCAAAGGTGAAAGCGATGATCAAACTGATAGAGGAAGATGCAGATTCATTTGCTGGGAGGGCAGAAATGTATTACAAAAAACGCCCAGAACTTATGAAGTTGGTGGAGGAGATCTACAGAGCTTACCGAGCATTAGCAGAGAGATATGATCATGCAACGGTAGAGCTTCGCCATGCTCATCGAATCATGGCTGAAGCATTCCCCGATCAAGTTCCTCATGCATTGACTGATGATTCACCTTCTAGTCAGGAGGATGAACCTCACACACCAGAAATGCCTCATCCAATTCGGGATTTGTTAAGCCCAGATGACTTGGAACTCTCTTCAGCCATTACAGATAATGGAGGTCTCAAATAGCTGAACATGATGTTTGGGGCTGATTCAAAAGTTACAGGAGGAAAGATGAAGAAGACGGCTTCAAAGTTACACAAGCAAGCTGAATCAGAGCAAGACATTGAGACTTTGAAGAAGACTCTTGGTGAGATTGAAGCCGAGAAGGAAGTTGTTCTTCTTCGGTACCAACAAACCTTGGAGAAGGAACATAAGAATGCCGGTGGGCTTGATGAAAGAGCAACCAGAGCTGAAATCGAGATTAAGATCCTGAAGGAAACACTTGCCAAGTTAGAAGCTGTGAGAGATGTTGGGTTGCTTCAGTACAACCAGTGCTTAGGAAACATATCAAGCATGGAGAATATGATATCTCAGACTCAGGAGCACGCTAAGGGGCTCAATGACAGGGCAATGAAAGCCGAAACAGAAGCACAGAGACTTAAACGAGATCTTTCCGGATTGGAGTTCGAGAAGGAAGCTCGTCTTTTGCAGTACAACCAATGTCTTGAATTGATATCTCTCCTGGAGAAAAGAATTTCACTAGCTGAGGAAAATGCCAGGATGCTTAACGAGCAAGCTGAGAAAGCTGAAACTGAAGTTAATTCACTGAGGCAAGCTGTTGATGAACTGAAGAAAGAGAAAGAAGCTGTTGAGCTAAGATATGAGCAGTGCCTTGAGAAAATAGCCATGATGGAGAATAAAATATCTCGAGCACAAGAGGATGTTAAGCGACTGAACAGTGAAGTGGTGATGGGTGCTGCGAAACTTAAAGTTGCAGAAGAACATTGTTTTCTGTTGGAGAAGTCAAATCGGTCTCTGCAGTTAGAGGCTGAAAATTTGGTCCAAAGGATAGCAATAAAGGATCAAGAACTCTTGACCAAGGAAATTGAATTGGACAAGCTTCATACTTTACTGGAAGAGAAGAACTCACAGTTTGCCCAGATTGAAGCCAACTTGCAAACTTTGCAAAAGTTGCACTCACAGTCACTAGAAGAGTAGAAAGCCTTGGCATTAGAGCTGGAAAACAAGCTTCAAATGTTGAAAGATTTGGAGTTGAGCAACCAGGAATTGCAAGAAGATTTGCATCGAGCTAAGGATGAAAATCAGAGCCTCAACGAGTTAAACGGTTCTTCCAGCCTTTCCATAAAGAACTTGCATAACAAAATTTCTTGCTTCAAGTGAAGGTGAAGCTTGAAGTGAAACTTACAGAGCAAGTAAGCCAAATTGATTCCCTGCAACAGGAGATTTCTCGTTTGAGGGGGGGGGGGTGGATTGATGCCTTGAATAGCAGGTATCAGGGTTTAATGGAGCAGGTGTGGTATGTTGGTCTGAATCCTGATTACCTTGGCTCCTCTGTTAAACACTTGCAAGATGAAAACTCGAGGCTAAAAGAAGTTCACGAAAAGGATGAAAGTGAGAAGTAAGTTATGCACGAGAAGCTGAAGGCTACAAATCATCTCCTTGAGAAGAATGTTGCCATGGAGGGATCTCTTTCATAAATGAATTATAAACTTGAAGGTTCAAGAGAAAAGGTGGAGGAGTTGCAGCAATCCTCCCAGCTCCTTCAGGGAGAAAAAACGGGACTTGTAGCTGAAAAGGGAATCTTGCTCTCCCAGTTAAAGCTCATGAATGAGAACATGCAGAAACTCATTGAGAAAAATACCCTGGTTGAGAATTCTCTCTCTGGTGCCAATATCGAGCTAGATGGTCTCAAGACAAGGAGCAGAAGCTTAGAAGAACTGTGTGAAATGCTCAAGAACGAAAAATCGGGTTAATTGCATGGTTGGTCACTGAGATTACAAAAAACGTTTATGTTTGGTCACTGAAAATATTTAAATCCAGTCTTGGTCACTCAAATTAGTTAAATGATTCAAGTTTGGTCACTCTCCGTCTATTTCCGTTAACTCCAGCTTATGTGGCAGTCAACTTTCATAGTTGACCGTTAAATATGTGACGTGGCAATTAAAAAATTATTAAAAATAAAAAAATAAACTTTTATATTTTTCACATCATTCTTACCTTCATTAAAAAATAAAAAACCTATAATTGCTCCCAGCTACCACATACCCCTTCCCGATCCCGCCGTGGTCCCCCAGCTACGCCGCTATAATTGCTCCCACAAGCAACTCACCCAGAACGTCGGCGGCGAGCTCCCAGAAGCGGATGTGGCGGCGGTCGTCCTTCTCGCAGAAATCGAGCACCAGCGACATGAGGTAGTAGGAGTAGAAGGAGACGACCCCAATGGCGGTGAGGCTGAAGATACCGGGGACCCACGCGTACGGCAGCGTCAGGATCGTGGGGCCCACTATCGCCATCGTCAGGTGGTACCCGGCGTGCCACCACTGCCCTGCTCGTCGGTCGGTCGGAGAAATCAATCCATTAGTTAAAGAAAGGAAGAAACGAGTTAATTGGTAATTAATTAAGTACCCTTGGATTCGAGGACGAAGGAGGCGCCGGCATCTTGCCCCCCGGAGGACTCCGGCTTAGGGGGCTCTGCCATTGATGATTAATGGCGATGAATTGGAGAGGGTTTGGAACTCATGGTGAATTCGGAGAAAGAGGATTTTAGGGATTTAGGGAGAGGTGATTTTTTTGGGGATTTCAGGGATTCGACCCAGAGTGTCGTTTTTCGGGTGGAAGGCTGCGGGGTGCTGGGATCGCAAGGGGAACTCATGGTCCGCGACCGCGCCGGAGACGCCTTGCTTCTGACAAAAACGTTTAAAGACGACAATGTGGTTCATTCAGAGCCTTCTACTTCTCTAAAGACGAGAAGCTTCTCGTCTCTGATTACATGCCAACCGGCAGCTTGTCGGTTGTTTTTGGTTTGGTTTTGGTTGTTTTTAGGTTTTTTATTTTTTTTATTTTTAATGAAGGTAATAATGAGTTGGAAAATATAAAATTTTATTTTTTATTTTTAATAATTTTTTAATTGCCACGTCACGTATTTAACGGTCAACTATGAAAGTTGACTGCCACGTAAGCTGGATTTAACGGAAATAGACGGAGAGTGACCAAACTTGAATCATTTAACTAATTTGAGTGACCAAGACTGGATTTAAATATTTTCAGTGACCAAACATGAACGTTTTTTGTAATCTCAGTGACCAACCATGCAATTAACCCACGAAAAATCCAATCTTTTGACTGAAAAAAGTACATAATGTCTCTCGGCTGGAAGATGTTGAACAAAGACTTAGAAACCTTGAGAGGAGGTTTACAAGACTGGAAGAGAAGTACACTGATCTGGAAAAGGAGAAAGAATTCACACTTTTCCAAGTTAAAGAACTGTATGGATACCTTGGAATGGAGAAACAGGAGCGTGCGTGCTATATACAGCCGAGTGAATCGCGGTTGGCTGATCTGCAAATTTAGGTCCATGCATTGCAAGAACAAAGTCAGCTAAGGAAGAAAGAATTTGAAGAGGAACAGGATAAAGCAGTAAATGCACAGGTCGAGATCTTCATCTTACAGAAGTTCATCGAAGATTTGGAACATAAGAATTTCACACTGTTGATTGAATTCAGAAGCAGGCTGGGGGCTTCAAAATTATCAAACAAAGTGATATCAGTATTGGAGGCAGAGAATCTGGAGCAGCAGGTGGAAGTGGAATTCCCGTTGGATGAAATTGAGAAGTATAGAATGGGAGTTCATCAAGTTTTTTAGTCACTTCAGTTTGATCCAATCCATGATCATGAACAAGGAATTGATGAAGGAAAACTTTCTTTTGGGCGGATGTTAGACAATATCAAGGACATGAAGAACTTGCTCCAAAGAGAGGATGACAAGAAGCAGTTAATGGTAGTAGAGAACCTGGTGCTCTCAACTTTGTTTGAGCAATTGAGATCTGAAAGTGCTGAACTTGAGTCAGAGAAAGAAGTTATAGAGACGGAGTATAAGGCAATGAAGGAAAAGTTCACTGTTGTTGAAATGGAAAGCCATGAACTTCAGGCGATGAGCAAGCAAATGGAAATGGAAGTGAGGAAAGGAGAGGTGCAGAAGGGAGAACTGAAAGCTGAGTTAGAAACTCAACATTTGAATATGGAAACCTTGCAAGTTTCTTACATCTCACTGCAAGCCGAAAACTTAAACATGCTTGAAGAAAATGAATCTATGCAACAGAGATTCTTAGATGTGAAAAGGTAAATTAATAAGGTTGAAGAAGAAAATTGCAACATTATCCAGGAAGCAAAATCTTTGGCAACTCTCTCATCTACTTATTAGAGCTTCGGGTTGCAGAAAGCCGAGGAGGTTGAAGCAGTTTTTGGAGAACTCAGTCATCTTAGCTCTGTTAACACTGGACTCAACAAGAAGATAGAAGAGTTGGAGAATATGCTTGGAGCAAAAGAATTCGAGTGTTTGTATCTGACCAAAACAATCAAGAAGGTGCAGTTGGAGCTGCAGGAAGGCCAGGACTTAAATGATCAGTTGAACTGCGAATTTTTATTGCCAAGGACTTTTTGGGAATGAAAGCATCAGAGCATTTAGAAGTAGAGCAAAAGCTGAAGGCTACTCAGGAGTCCAATGGTGACTGTGTAGAACAATTGAGGAACTGGAGATGGAATCCAAGGAATCCACTGCAATCAAGGAAAAAATAAAAAACCAGATTGCTGAATTGTCCAAAGACAGCGCAAACCAGAAACAAGAAATCCAACATCTTCATGCAGTATAACAGAACCTGGAGTCAGAAGCTAGCACTTCGCAGAAGGAGATTGAAGAACACAGGGTTAGAGAAGAGACCTTGAGCCTGGACTTACAGGAGAGAAGCAACGAGTCCGAAATCTGGGAGGCCGAAGCTTCATCATTCTTCTTCGACCTCCAAGTATTCTCCATTCACGAGGTTCTTCTCGAGAAGAAGGTTAATGAGCTTTTTGTGTTTTGTTCAACCCTTGAAGATGACAATGCAACTAAAGATGCTAAGATTAGACAGATGAAGGAAAAGTTTGTTTCTTTGGAAACTGAAGTAGTGGAGCTTAAGTCTCAGATATCTGCATATGCTCCAGCAATAGCTTCCTTGAAAGACAACATTGAATCCCTCGAGAAAAATGCTCTCCTTTTGACAAAGCTTCCTTCTTCTACAGCTTGTGATCAAACTCAGAAGGTATTAGTCATCATGCACTTTTCCTTTCCATAATATAACATTTGAAGGCGCATTAGAATCTTGACATTGTCTCATTCTTCTGTGATCAAGATATTGACATAGCTTCTGAAGATCATCCAAGTGAGGCAAGAGATGGGATCTCTGATTTGCTGGAGATGCTACCAAGAGTTAAAACAGTGGAGAAAGCCATGCTTGAAGAGATGAGCAGGCTTGAAGCTGAGAAGGAGAAGTTTGAAACCCATGAGAAAATGAAAAAGCCAAGAAGGAGGTCATCAAGAAGCAGGGGAGATAGCTTCAATAGTAATGATTCAACTGACAGTTCTTATAACAACAAATTGCAGACAATAAGCACCACCTCGACCAACAACCTGAGATTGCACCATCACCACCGGAAGTAAAGAGCAACCCCAGCAGCAGCAATGTCGAGGTTTTGATGAAAGACATTCAACTTGATAGTTCTTCCTCCTCGCGCAGAAAGATCATGAAAGTCTCGAGAGCCGACGATCAAATGCTCGAGCTCTGGGAATTCGCCGAGAAAGATAATGCCGGAAACAACAATGGAGGAGGCCCATCAACACCAACACCACCACTCTGGTCGTTGAGTCGAAATCCATCATCAAGACGTTCGAAGCAGCACAAGACTCCTCCCTCCATTCCTTCCTCTGAGAAGGAATTAGGAATTGATGATGTAAAGCAGGTGGTAGTACCAATCAAAGACAAGAAGAGATCCCCCCCATGGAGGCAAGATTATGGAGAGACTTAATTCTGACGGCAAGAAACTGACTACTCTCTACACATCAGTGCAAGACATGAAAACCAAGGTGGAGAGTAGTAAGGGGAACGACGTGGTGGAAATGGAGAAGCTGAAGACGCGACTACAGGAAGTGGAAGTGGAAGAGGCAATTGTGCAGCTAGCAGAGGCTAACGACCAGCTGAGGAAGGACGTCCGTGGCGGTACCGCGTCGTCTCCTGAAGAGATAATGGTTAAAGCGGAGAGCAACGGGGTGACGGAGCAGGCGAGGAAGTGGTCGGAGAAGATTGGGAGCTTGGAGTTCGAAGTGCAGAACATTCAGTACGTTCTGCTGAAGCTTGATGAGAAGAGTGGGGAGACGGAGAAGAAGAGTAATGTGCAGCATAGGTTCTATGGGAGCAAGACGGGTGTTCTGTTGAGGGATTTTATCAGTAGTGGTGGGAAACGGAGGAGTTTGAGGAGAAGGAAGAAGGGGTGTTTCTGTGGTTGTGGGAGACCGGCGACCATTGAAGAGGCATGAAGACAGGAAGGAGACTGACTATTCCTACTTCTCTTTTGTAATATTCGTAATGTAGCTGTTGAAAACCTGCAAGGAAGAAGAACAAGGCGGCTTTGTCCCTTGCCGTTCTTCTTGTAATGAAAGATGTATCTTTTTTTTTTTCCTCTGGTGTTAGTAATTTAGCTTTTTTAAGCTGTTGGCGGTGCTTGTAGAACAGTATGTTTAGGTTTGGATTTGATGTAGGGAAGACAATAGATGATAAATAAATAGAGTCGATCACATTGTTCTGAGTCGCAACTCCCTTAGTTAGTTGAGACCAAGGTTGTCAACCCGCGGGTCGACCCAGTTTGACCCTGACCCGATGAGAAAAACGGGCCGTACGCACCCGTCGGGCCGACCGCTATAAGGTGCCGGGTTGGAGGTCAAATTGTGTCATTTTTTCCTTTGATTTGCGAAATGCGCCTATTTTCCAATTTTTCTTTTCGTCCAATTCAATCTTTGGAATCCTAAGTTGAACATTTGAATATTTATGTTATATAAGTGTGTGTGAATTTTCATTATATGTTGGATCTAAGTACGATATGTTATTTTGGTGTAATATTATATGTTATAACTCATATGTTAGATAAGATTTGATATAATTTATGAGGATGAGTACAATATAATGACTTTTTTCCATATTTCCGGGCCAAACCGGGCTAAAACGGTTTACCCATTAACCCTTGACCCACTAGCTCGACCGGGTCCGGGTCAACCCGCAGGTTGACAACCTTGGTTGAGACGTATACTGTCGTATAACCACCAGGCACCAACGACCTTTTTGCAGCGAAACCAAAACCAAAACAAAAAACGAAAGCTTATTGTTTGGAAGTTGTGATTCTTCAAATTGATGTATGGGACAATTAGTGTATTATCATTTGATGGATTGAATCAATTGATGTATTAGGTAGATATCTTGTTTGGAGGTTTGGATTGTGTTTTTATTCCAAAGGTAAAAAAGTTAGTATTGAGTGATTGTGAAGAATCTCAACAAAAAGTAGAGATTGTAAATCCCTCAATATTGAGTGATTGTGGTGGGGCCTCCAAAAAGTAAATGCATGTATTCTAGTTCTATATAAACCAAAAAAACGACTTAATCTCACAAATACATGAATTAGATCAATACACCATTTGAAATCACAACTTCCAAACGACCCCTAGAAGCAAGGCGTCTCCGGCGCGGTCGCGGACCATGAGTTCCCCTTGCGATCCCAGCACCCCGCAGCCTTCCACCCGAAAAACGACACTCTGGGTCTAATCCCTGAAATCCCCAAAAACAATCACCTCTCCCTAAATCCCTAAAACCCTCTTTCTCCGAATTCACCATCAGTTCCAAACCCTCTCCAATTCATCGCCATTAATCATCAATGGCAGAGCCCCCTAAGCCGGAGTCCTCCGGGGGGCAAGACGTCGGCGCCTCCTTCGTCCTCGAATCCAAGGGTACTTAATTAATTACCAATTAACTCGTTTCTTCCTTTCTTTAACTAATGGATTGATTTCTCCGACCGACCGACGAGCCTCGTTAGTAACGGCGGCGCAACCTCTCTATTCTTGCAGGGCAGTGGTGGCACGCCGGGTACCACCTGACGACGGCGATAGTGGGCCCCACGATCCTGACGCTGCCGTACGCGTTCAGGGGGCTGGGGTGGGTCCCCGGTATCTTCAGCCTCACCGCCATGGGGGTCGTCTCCTTCTACTCCCACTACCTCATGTCGCTGGTGCTCGATTTCTGCGAGAAGGACGGCCGCCGCCACATCCGCTTCCGGGAGCTCGCCGCCGACGTTCTGGGTGAGTTGCTTGTGGGAGCAATTATAGCGGCGTAGCTGGGGGACCACGGCGGGATCGGGAAGGGGTATGCGGTAGCTGGGAGCAATTATAGGTTTTTTATTTTTTTATTTTTGGGCAATGTCTATTTTTTACCCAAACCTTTTTTAGATTCTTTTATTTTAACCAAACCTATAGAAATTCTATTTATTATCCAAACGTATTATAATTTATCAAAGTCTGGGCATTCATTCTGTTACCGTTACTTAATTCGTCCACGTGAGGGGTGGCATTTTGTTTTGTTTTTTGATAATCTTTTTATTAAAAATAGTAAATGATTGTATTCTGACCGCCACGTAGGAAGTCAACTCATTATGGTCATACTTAGTCAGCATTACTAACAGAAAAGTTGACCGAGAGTTAACGTTTGGATAATTTTTAGGAATTCAATAGGTTTGGTTAAAATAAAAGAATCTGAAAAAGTTTTGGGTAAAAAATAGACATTGCCCTTTATTTTTTAATGAAGGTAAGAATGATGTGGAAAATATAAAAGTTTATTTTTTTATTTTTAATAATTTTTTAATTGCCACGTCACGTATTTAACGGTCAACTATGAAAGTTGACTGCCACGTAAGCTGGAGTTAACGAAAATAGACGGAGAGTGACCAAACTTGAATCATTTAAGTAATTTGAGTGACCAAAACTGGATTTAAATATTTTCAGTGACCAAACATAAACATTTTTTGTAATCTCAGTGACCAACCATGCAATTAACCCCATTCATTTCATTCACCTACATCAATTAACTTACAATTGCATATTTAATTAAATATTAAGTTTAAATTATAAAAAGTTAAAGTAAAAGAAAAAAAAATACAAAGTTAAAAATCCCCATTTTTATAGGCTTTTATAACTTGGATATAGAATTGCAAACATACAAATAATGCAATTGATGGCATCAATGCAATTGGTTTTGCCATAATTGCAAACAATCATTCCATTTCATCTTGAAATTGAGAATGCATAACAATGTGTATGTTCTTATAAGAATCCAAATTCATGATTAAACAACAGATTTCATTACTTAGACAAAACTGTATATAAAGCTCTTCAATTTAATCAAAATCACAAACTAATCAGACCAAAATCATCTTTCCTAGCAAAATACTGACAACCATTGTTCCAACCAAGATTAATCTGGCAATGACTAGGGGGAACAGGAAAGAAGAGGCCGTAGGGGAAGTTCATTCAATCTATCTCCTTAAGCAGCAACAGGTTCAGCAGCTGGTGGGGCTTCAGCCATTGTTTCATCAACTGCAGGTCTTTCTACCTTCACACCAACATCTTCAGAGTAATCACCATGGACCTGAATATAGAAACGAACTAAGATTTAGAATCTGGGGAAAGCCACTCCTAAATATACGAGAACTTCAGAGAGCATTGGGTGGAAGAAACATGCCTCCATCAATTTGCCGATATCGAACTTGGGTGCCTTCAAGATCTTCACTTTCCTGATGAAGACATTCTGCAAAGGATAGATTCCTGAGGTTGCCTTCTCAATCTCTTTCCCGATGGCTTCAGGAATGAACTTCTGAACCAACTCCTTAAGATCACAAGATGCTGCTTGAGCAATCATAATTTCCCTCATCTTCCTTCGGATCTGCAAAAAAGATAAACACAGTAACGTATATATTAACTACTAAAGCAAACCAACTTATGTAAGAACGAGTTAAGTTCTTTCAAAATCGAGACTCCACCAGAACCTATAAAGTTGGCATGGCAAATCTTACCTGTCTGATCTGGCTAGATTGGGCATAGCAGGTCCTCTTGACCTGATTTGGGCGCCTCTTAGTGAAAGCAATGCAAAACAACCTCAAAGTGTAGTTGTCAGTAGTCTTCACATCAACATGAGACTCTATCAAAGTCTGCCATTTCCTGACTAATGATCTCAGCTTGTCTGTGGTGAAATCCATTCCCTGAAAAAGCAAAACAGAGTGCACAATAAATAAATACCACACGAAAGATTCATTCTGCAGAAAATATCCAAACAGAAAAGAAGACATTTATCATACCCAGAAATTAGTCAGAACGTTCTTTCCCTGCACATCCTCAGCCCTCAACCTGATCTTCCTGAAGGCATGATCTTCATCATTTTGAAGGTCACCTAGGGAAACCTCAAACACTCTGTGCTTGAGCCCTTCTGAAGCAATCTATTCACAATAACAATACCATCTAAATCAGCGATACAAAACTAGACTGATAATGAAACGAACAGCAAAATTCATGTACTACAATGGCCACTAGTGGAAACAAACAACATAGATTAAGAATACATTTGAAAAAGCGAGAAACCAAGTCTAGTCAATTCTAAGGGAAAAGTTATCCGGTTCAATCCATGGTAGTCGCTAGAGTGTTAGCACAAGGCATTACAAGCTCACTGATACTAACTCAATATCTATAACGGAGCAGACTAACACCCCAGCAGTGAACAAACTAGAAAGCAAAAGGAGAAACCTAAAAGTTCAATGTTCAAAAGAATCCATGGCTAACAAAGCATCAAGCTCGCGTACCTTGGTACCCTGAGTGCGGGAGACGAGAGTCTTCCCGACATTCTTGTGGGTGAACATTGCAGGAGCTTTGATATCATACCAATCCTTCTTGGAAAACGGATCCGCTCTGTTACCATCGAGCGTCAAAATGGACTCTTTGC